ACAAGGATATGTATGATGAGGATTGGGAGGAGCTGGATCTGGAAGCACGGGCGTCGATTATCCTTTCCCTTGAAAGAGATGTAGATTTCTTGGTAGATGGAGAGGAAACGGCTATGGGCGTGTGGTCGAAGTTAGAAAGCATCTTCATGACGAAGAGTCTAATAAACCGGATCTATTTAAAATCTAAATTGTATACTTACAAGATGGAGGAGAGCTCATCAATCCGGGAATACATCAACAAGTTCGATAGGATAATATCGGATCTGAAGGACATCGATGTGATTGTAGAAGACGAGGATCAGACTCTTCTACTACTTCTATCTCTACCGAAGTCTTATGAGAACCTGGTGCAAACACTGATGCTTGTGGGAGACAATTTGACGATGGATGAGACTAGAACGGTGCTTCTAGCGGATGATATTCGGAAGATTGTAACCAGTGACATGACTACTGGTGGTAGCAAAGAACAAGCGCAGGGATTATTTGCTAGAGGAAGGAGCAATGAGCGAGGAAAAGGCAAGGGAGGAAAGTCTAGATCTAAATCAAGACATCTGCGTGTTTCAAATGCGGTGAAGTTGGGCATTTCAAGGTCGACTATCCAAATAAGAGAGTAGGTATGAAGAAGAAGAACAACAAGACTGAGAGGAGAGAAGGCATGGAAGAAGCGAGCAATGTTTTAGAGGAAGGGAGCGAGAAGGAATGTTATGTCGTCATGGGTGGCGAGGATATCTTCGGAAAGCGGATTCTTGATTCAGGTTGCTCTTACCACGTGTGTCCAAATAGGAAGTGGTTCACTATCTACAGAAGCACTAATGATGGAACCGTATTGCTAGGGAACAATCATGCTTATAAAACGGTAGGGCTAGGTAATATAAAGATCAAGATGCATGATGGAGTGGTCCGAACCTTGACTGATGTGAGGCACGTTCCCGACTTGCGGAAGAATCTTATCTCAGTTGGTGCATTAGACTCCGATGATTGCAGGATTGTTACAAAGAACGGAGTGTAGAGGGTTGTTTGGGGTTTCCTTGTAGTGATGAAGGGTGTTCGTCACGGTAATTTATATACTCTCTCAGGTACGACAGTGACGGGAGATGCAGCGGTTAGAACTAAAGGAAGTGGTAGAGACCTATGTGAGCATACACGGTTATGACATAGGCTACTTGGGCACATGTCAGAGAAGGGTCTAGATCTGCTTGGTAAGGAGGGTTTGCTGAAGAATCTAAAGAAGCATTGCATGGATTTTTATGAGGATTGTGTGTACGGGAAGGCGCACAAGGTTTAGTTTCTGAGAAGCAATCACAAGATCAAAGGTATACTAGATTATGTGCACACAAATATTTGGGGTTCGATTCAGACAACTTCCAAGGTGGTTCCAGGTATTTTCTCTCGTTCATACATAATCATTCGAGGTATGCTTGGATTTATTTTCTTAAGCATAAGATGAGGTATTCGAAACATTCAAGATGTGGAAAACAATGGTTGAGAACATGACAGGCAAGAAATTGAAGACACTGAGATCTGATAACGGTATAAAATATACAGCTGGTGCTTTCAAGAAGTTCTGTGATTAGGAGGGTATTGTTCAACACTGAACAGTTAAATCTACACCACAGCAGAATAGGATCGCGGAAAGGCTGAACCGAACACCGTGGGAGAAAACAGTGAGTATGTGATCTTATGTTGGTTTGGTCAAAGAATGATGGGCGGAGTCGATTGCTACAACTTGCTATATTATGAACCGATCTCCACATTCTATATTAGATGGTGATACACCCTATAGGGTGTGGTCAGGGGAGCATACAGATTATAAGAGGCTCCGGATTTTTGGGTGTACCGCCTACTATCACGTCAATGAGGGAAAGCTTGACGCGAGGGCCAAGAAGGTAATTTTCTTGGGGTATGTAAAAGGTGTAAAAAGCTATCGTCTTTGGTGCACAGAAGATTCAAAGTTCGTGATCAGTAAGGATGTTACCTTTGATGAGAAATCCATGATTGCTAGGGCGTCCAAGGATGATGGTGTTAGGACTATTAAGACTTTAAAGTCTTAGGTTATTGAAATAGAACCTAAAGACCAACCAGATTCTAGTCATGTTCAAGTAAGAAATCAGGTAGCAGGAGGAGGTTCAACAGGAGAATACACAAGCACTACAACAATAACAGCTCGAGGATAGTTTGGCTTCCACTAGACCAAGGCGAGCATACAAGCAGGTACTGAAGATGGAAGCTGATCAACCCCTGAAGCACTATAGGCAGGTTAATTTGGTGGAATACGCACTCTCGGTGAAGGATGATGAGCCGGTCTCCTTCAAATAAACTATTCGGGATAGAGATAGTGAGAGTTGGTTGGCTGTGATAGAGGAGGAGATGGAATCTCTTTGAAAGAATCAAACATGGGAGGTGGTCTCATTGCCCGTAGGAAGAAAAGCTATTGGTTGCAAGTAGGTATATAAAAGAAAGGAGGATCTTTCAGAGCTCGGTGATACAAGGTACAAGGCGAGGCTAGTGGCTAAGGGATTTGCACAAAGAGAGGGTGTGGATTACAATGAGATTTTTTCTCCGGTGGTAAAACACACTTCTATTCGGGAGCTATTGAGTATTGTTGCTCATAGTGATCTTGAGCTGAACAACTCGATGTAAAGACAGTCTTCTTGCACGGAGACTTGGATGAAGAGATCTACACGCATCAACCTGAGGGCTACAAGGTTGAGAACAAGGAGAATCATGTGTGTCGCTTGAGGAAGTCACTCTATGGACTGAAACAATCTCCTCGACAGTGATACAAGCGATTTGACTCCTTTATGCTGAAGCATGAATTTTCTCAAAACGATTACGATTATTGTGTTTACATTCGGAAGCTTCGTGGAGGTGATTATATCTATCTCCTTTTGTGTGTGGATGACATGCTTATTGCTTCGAAGAGCAGGGTGGAGATAGATAGGCTGAAATCTCAACTTGGTAAAGAGTTCGAGATGAAGGACATGAGCGCTACAAGGAAAATGCTGAGTATGGAGATAGAAGAGAGCGGGCAAATCAGTGATTATTCTTGAGTCAGAAGGACTACATAGAATGGGTTATCGTAAGGTTCGGGATGCAAAGTGCTAAGTCGGTGGTGACTCCATTGGCTCCACACTTTAGGCTTTCAGGTAAACAGTCTCCTATTACAGTGAAAGATAAGGCACACATGGAACGTGTTCCTTATGCTAGTGCAGTTAGCAGTTTGATGTACGCCATAGTGTATACACGTCTAGATATTTCACAGGCAGTCAGTGTGGTCAGCAGATTCATGGCGAATCCGGAAAAGACACATTGGGAAGCGGTGAAGTGGGTCCTGAGGTACTTGAAGGGTACCGTTGATACGGGTCTGTATTTTGGTGGAGATAGATGTCAGATTGATGGGTTTGTTGACTCTGATTATGTGGGTGATCTAGATAGACGACGATCTAATACTGGTTATGTATTCAGGATACATAGGGCCCCAGTTAGTCGGCAATCGATGTTACAGGACACAATGACACTTTCTACTACAGAGGCCGAGTACATGGCCATGGCGGAGGGAGTGAATGAAGCATTATGGTTGTGGGGTCTTCTAGACGATTTGGAGATTGAGCAGGAGAACGTGAACTTGTGGTGTGACAGTTAGAGTGTGATTCACTTGGCGAAGAATCAAGTTCATCATGCTCGTACCAAGCATATCGATGTCAGATATCATTTCGTGCGGGATGTCATAGAGGAAGGTGATATTTCTCTCATGAAGAAGCATATCGATGTCAGATATCATTTCGTGCGGGATGTCATAGAGGAAGGTGATATTTCTCTCATGAAGATACACACAAATGAGAATCCCGCAGACATGTTAACCAAGGTGGTCACATGTAGCAAGTTTAAGCATTGCTTGGACTTGCTTCATATCAGCCCGTATTGATTTTCCCAAGAGGGCATGGCCCTTCGGGACGGTGATGAGGTGAGGTGGAGACTATGATAGAGAATTACAGAACTACGATTAGCTTGATCCTGGTTAAAGGGTACGTAGGCAGCCGCGGTATAGTAACACAGCTAGTTTGGCTTGGTTTGTCCTGGTTTGGTTTTTCAGATCTATCTCTGGTGATGTTTACGGCGTTTTTCTGGTGTTCGTCCAAAATTTAAGGTTTATCAAATGATGTACGAGGTGGAGAATTGTGAACGTGGGGCGTGGGGGTCACACCCACGTACGCGGAACCACGCGCACGAAGCAGCAAAGAGGCAGAGCCCAACTTCTGGTGCGGCCCACCCAAGACTTGCCAAAGCTATTAATAGCCGAAGTCGGCTAGGGTTACGACTGCAAGGAGAAAAGAAAAAAAAAGGTAGATGGTCTTAGTCGGCTGCAGGTGAAGAAAAACAGAGAAAAAATGGTCTTTTGGCGGCTGTTTAGAGGAGAAAAACAGAGCATTTTTTAGATCTAAAAGAGAGATCCTGAGGAGAAAAAAAGAAAGCGTTTTGAGAGATTTTACAAGAGAGAGGTCAATTTCTTTTGGGTAAAAATCATAGCTTTATCTTTAAGACGAGCTTGTGGATTGTACAAGTCATCGGTGTTCTCCTTCATAGTGGAATCTCCCTCACCCCCTCCCGTGGACGTAGGCAATTTTTCCGAACCACGTAAATCTTGTGTATTTACTGTTTTCTGTGTGTTGGCTATTACTTGTAGGTTCCCTCGACAAGTCAGTCCTAGAACTGATGAGTGGAAAAGTGTATATTTCACTTTGTTGAGATATTTCGCTTTCTATTCTTGTTTCCTTTGTGAAACGGGAATATAGAGGTTGACTTGTGCTTTTGTGAAAGTAAAAATCATGGCTTTCTCTCGGGTTATATCGCTTCCGCGGCGTGAGGGCGTAACTCTGCGTCCAACATAACCTAAAGCATAACATGAAGTTACAACATTAAAGAGATAAAAATGAACTCAAAGAAAATATGTACAGTTTAGGAAATCAATACATTATGATCGCTGAAAATTTTTCCACGCTCATACATCTGAACTCATATCTTTAAAGATTCTAGATTCCACTCAACACATGGATAGTTTTATCTAAACAACCAAAGTAAGTTTCTGTGTCTTTAAACACTAGAACACATAAAGCTGCAACTATATATAGAGAAATCTCTACAGCTTAGAGGTAATAGAAGGGGCGGGAATCTTGAAGAACTCCCCATTAGGCAGCTCATTAGGAGGGAGCAAAGCAATCCAAGATCCAATCTCAGCAGCCTCCGCAGCCGTCCGATGGCCTTTGCCGCCAGTCATAGCCGTCCGTGTGAAGCCCGGGCAAAAGCAATTCACACTCAAATTTCTCCCGATGTTTTGCTTTGCTAGTAGCCTTGAGTATGCGTTCACTGCAAACTTTGATATTGAGTAGTCTGTCCACACATTTGGCCATCCTTTTTCTTGCCAAACTCCCATTTTTACATCCGAGAGAAATTGACAGATCATCTTGTCGATCTTTTTCTCTGAGAGATTGCCTTCATCTCGGAGAAGTTCTCTTAATGATGGATTGCTCACTTGCTGAAAAAAAAATGGTCAAATTATATGTCAGACATATAGAAGTAAGAAATGCTTTCTAACTATACTGTATATACTTCTATTTTGTATGAGTAGACATTTTCTGAGACATCTTAGATTGTTAATGTTAGTATCATTGAATCGAATTTTCAAAGCTATTTGACTGTTTTTACCTGGCCTTTTTACTCTTTTTGTGCTGTGTCTTAGACTTTGAGTAATCTTAGTTTTTTATTCTTTTTTTAAAATTAACTTTCTTAGAGTATGGAGTCTACAACAAATAGATAAGCCTGTCAATAGTAGTAATATCCCTTGTGCAAATGCAAGTCTGCCAATCGTATGACTGGTCCCTTGAGATATCTTAGATTGTTAATCATTTCATCAAAAATTTGAAGTTATTTGACTCTTTCTACCCTTTATACTCTCTTAGTGCCGCGGCTCAAGACTTTGAGTAACCTTAGTCTCTTTGTTGTTTACATAATTTTCTTAGAATATTGACATTATGGCAAGCAGATAAGCTCATCAACTGCATTAATATCCCCGCTGCCAATTGATATACTTCTATGTAACAGAGAAGCCGCATTCATTCAATTATCCTGTCTCTTATAACCACCACATTGACACGCGCTGACATGGTGTATAACTATATTAAAAGAGATAAATAACTATTTTGTAAATACTTTTAATCATTTTTAATGTTGAAAAATGATATCTAATCCACTTACAGTCTGTGCTCCAAGCTGTGAGCTAATGTTCAGTATCCTACTCATCGATGCAGATCTCCGAAACAATGGCATAAGAGCTTCTGTCAATATCTTAGGCCCATAAAAATTTGTCTTGATCACAGTCTCAGCATAGTCGATCGAGTTTCCATTTATCTCATTAAAACAAACACCAGCATTATTCACCTATATATAGTCATATTTACTAAATGTTAGCATTTGTTATGTACAGAAGAATAGAACTCTCTTACAGTTAAAAAAAAATCTTACTTACCAGAATATCCAATCCTCCAAATCTCTTCTCAAGCCAAGAAACAAAGGATTTGATTGATGAAATATCAGTGATATCTAATTGACAAACTTCTATATTTTTGAGTCCTATGGCTTTAAGTGAGTCTACTGCCTCTTTGCCTTTGGTAATGTCTCTGGCAGTTAAGATCACGGTGAGCTCAAGTTGTGAGAATTTTCTAACGAGCTCGAAGCCAATGCCCTTGTTTGCTCCTGTGACTACTGCAACTGTCTCTTTTGACCACCATCTGCTTAAGATATGAAAGGGTTAGGCATTCCGATAGTAAAGTTTTAACTTTATGTTTTTATTGTATATCTTCCTTCTTAGAACCATACGGGGTTTTTCCATCAAGGTGGGATTTGTTCATGAAACATAAAATCCCATGTTATCACCTTCACATGAATCCTTATTGAATCTTGAAAAGCTGGATCATAGAATGTTGTAGAGAACAAGTATACAAATTGCAACATATAAACTTATATTATCCATAAATCTTACCTGAAAGCAGTCTGAGAAGTATTGCTACTTGTTGCCAGGTTTGATTGATCCAAAGTGAAGTTCATGGTTTTTGGATTGAAGAAGTGAATTAGAAAAAAGAAATTTAGTAAAATGGGGAAGGGTTTGGATTGGAGGACAAATGTCGGACGGAGCTATTGATGATGAAAACTTAAGATCATAGCTTGTATATATATATATATATATATGAGAATAGTGCTAATAAGAGGTTGGGACTCCACTATCATTTAGAACTCATGGGCTTGATCCCACATTAATTAATATAACTAAGCAACTGCTAGCCAAATTCAAGTTTATTGGATGCTTTCATTTTTGTTGGTATTTTATTAAAAATATATGTCGCTATGTGCTTCTGCCTTTTGTTCAAATGTATACCTTTTTATATGCATATGCGTGCAATGTGAACGCACATTGAATAAATACAATTACACTTAGGCCTATGGCAGCTTACCCTTGTGGTCAAATAATTAACAAACTTAAGTGGAGAAAAACACTTTAATAATTAATAACCAATCTCGGCTTAGCTTAGAATAATTAGGAACATAATTTGGTCCCCACTACTCAAATTGCACTCTATATTTAGTCTAATTAATGTTACAGTCAAAATTTGACTGCTTGGGGATGGTAGAACTTAAAAAAAACGTGTTTACATAAGATAAATGTGTGAGCAAGACTATTTTTGTCCTAACGAAATAACAAATAACTTCTTCAGAGTGAATTTTATTATTTCTTCATCCATAGAATTAGCTAGTTAATAGCCAATTTGGTGAGTCTTTTTTAATCTGTCAGAGGCTAAAAGGTGTCTATATTTATCCTAATTAATAAGCTGATCTGATAAATTGTTTGGCGTAAACTAATAAATAGAAACTTGTATGTTTGACACAAACTCAGATAGATACCCAAAAATTGTGTACAGAAATTTCTACATGTAAAACAAATTTGCATGCAGGAAGTTATTTCATAATCCAGATTCATACGAAAAATTTACTAAAAGAGTAATTCCTTTAGTCACGTAACTGTTATACCTGAAAGTAGTTCAATGAAATTAGGAGATGGCCCTTTGATGGAATTTGTATCACAATTAACATGTTATTCCATAAGAACATTAGGTTGCAAGTTACATATTATTATTATTTTCTTCAGACTGCACACGCATGCTATGATGAAAGCTAGTATATAAACATGTGAAGGATAATAATTCTTTTAGACCTTCTCATTCTCTGTATTCTACCGTAGCATGCTTGGTCATAGTAAATCCAGTATTACGACAATTAAACCTTTTAATCGATCTACTAAAGTCTTTTTATTACCGGCAATTTTCAATTAAGTAGAATAATATCTTATATCTATGTGTATTCATATATATATATATATATATACATATATATATATATATATATATATGTATCTTCAGTGCTTGAAAGATGAGTCAGTCCTGACGTGAAGCTTGACAGTGTCAATTAGGACTTGGCTAAGTAAAGTGGTTAAAAGATGAGTTAGGTCATCAAATGTTTGTTTAACGCAGTTTAATGCTAAATTATAAGTTAAACATACTTGTTTATTATGGACGGATCTTAATATTCTAATTGATCAGTCTTGTGCAAATAGAAAATGGCATCTAAAGGATTTTTTGTTTTTTTTTTGCAGAATGTGCTATCATTAACTATTGTAGTTTATTTAATGATGGCCTTATCAATATTGAGTACTTCTTCTTTGACTTGGTTTCCTATGGCTAATTTCATGTGCTCAGGTATAAAATTTGAATAAATGTATTGTGCAGTGCATGCACACACTTTTCTTTGCTGGGGTTCTTTAAATGGTGTAATTAATTTCCTATGTGTAATATTTGGACATTTAAAGTTTTCAAGAGATATAGAAAGTATATATTTGTAGTCCAAAACCAATTATATTGCTACACAGGATATCTGAGTGACAAATATCTAACTAGACCTAACTCTATATTTAAATTACATGCTATGCATAACCCGCAATAGAAAATTCTCCATTACATGGAGAATCTCTCTTAGATGGAGGGCTTTGTGCACTTTCGTGATAAAACTAAGGGTGCAATGCACATAACCCCCTCCATCTATACCTTCAGAGGGGGAAAACATTAATCATTAAATTATCACTAAATGGGAGTCAAGAAGTGATTATTTTTATAAGGATCCAAACAAAAAATTTCTCATTACATGGAGGATGGGTGCATGTTTGCTATAAAATTAAGGATAATTGTATTCAACTCCCCTCATCTATAGGGGTAAACACAAATCATTAGAAGAAATTGTCTCTCAATAGAATGCAATAAGTTATTATGTTTACAAGGATCCGGACATAATCATCAGATGGGGGACTGGTGCGTGTTTGCTATAGAATTAAGGGTAAATTGCACATAACCCCCTCATCTATTCCTTCAGTTGTAGTAAACCCCCCATCAACTCATTTACTAGCACTTAGTACCCCTCAATCATAAGCAAGTGGGGTGTATCTTGAAGTCCATCCTTCTAAAAATGACATTTCAAGAGTGCTAAGTCCCAGTAAATGAGTTTCGGGTTGGGGTGGGGTGGGGGGCGTCTAGTGAAAGGAGGCCTGCACGGTCGACCGCGAACGTGCACAGAGCTGGTTAGAGCCTGGAGCTGAAGGCGGTCGACCGCGGCGGTCGACCGCACAAATCTCTGTAATGGATTTTGGTCTTGGGTTTTGGTTTGGTCAACCGCCGCGGTTGATCGTGGATACCCTGTAGGATTTTTGGGCTTTGTCGTTTGATACGGTCGATCGCCGCGGTTGACCGCTACGGTCGACCGTGACGCAGTCAGTCAGTTTCCTTATCTGTTTTGGATTCTGTTTCTTCCAGGACTCTACCTAAACATTTTTAGGGCTTGATAGAACACGAAAAAAGAGCTTTTTGACTGCAGAAAAGAGAGAGAATCTCAGAGAGATAAAACCCTAGTTTGAGAGCTTGTATTTCTTCTTTAATTAATAAAAGAATTGTGTGGTGTGGCTCCCGAGGACATAGGCACGTTTGCCGAATCTCGTTAAATCTGGTGTGTTCATCTCCTTTACTCTTTTATAAGTTTTGATCTAATTTGTGGTGAATTTCCTACTTTCCTACTTTCAACACAAGGTCCGGAAGGGCAAGGGTTCGATTGATTGTTTCGAATCCCCAACAACTGGTATCAGAGCTTCGTTCAGCAATTTGTGTGAAAGCTATGGCAGAGGAAAACAAATCAAAGATCGAGAAGTTTGACGGTTCAGACTTCGCCTACTGGAAGTCACAGATGGAGGATTATCTGTACCAGAAGGACTTGTATCGCCCGTTGATGGGCAAGGAGAAGGGACAGAAGAAAGAGGAGTCAAACGATGATTGGGAGATACTGGATAGGAAGGCTCTAGGGCAAATCCGGTTGTCGCTCGTCAAATCAGTAGCCCATAATATTTTAAAGGAGAAGACGATGGTGGGGCTTATGGAAGCGCTCGCGAAGATGTACGAGCAACCATCGGCAGCAAACAAGGTGCATCTCGTCAAAAATCTTTTCAACCTTAAGATGGCAGAAGGACGGTCCTTTACGATGTACCTCAGTGAGTTCAACACGATTGTTGATCAGCTTATCTCCGTAGACATCACGTTCGATGACGAAATGCATGCCCTTCTACTACTATCACAGTTGCCGGATAGTTGGGCAGGTTGTGTGACGACAATTAGCAATTTGGCGGGGAAGGAAAAGTTAAAGCTGAGTGAGGTGGTTATTATGATTTTATCCGAGGAGGTTAGAAGGAAATCGTCCGAATCAGAAGGTTCAGGTTCAGCTCTAAGTTTCGAGCAGAGAGCCAGAAGCCAGAAGAAAGAAAACCAGAACAGGAATCAGTCGAAATCAGTGAAGAAGAGGTCGAACTCGAAGGTTAGACCTATCAAAGGGAAGTGTTAGAACTGCGGTTAGGAGGGCCATATATCTTCAGTCTGCAAGAGTCCAAAGAAGGATGCGGGTGAGTAGGAGGCTCATATCGTGCAGGATGCCTTGATCCTTACTATGGATAGCGACTCAGATTCTTGGGTCATTGATTCAGGGACCTCTTTACATGCTACTGCTAACAGGAAGCTTTTCCAGAACTATGTAGCAGGGGACTTTAAAAAAGTGTATTTGAAGAATAACGAGCCCTGTAATATTATTGGAAATGGTGAAGTACAGATTCAGATGAATGGCTCTAAGTGGACCTTGAAGAACGTGAGACACGTGCCGAAGCTGAAGATGAATCTTATTTCGATGGGACAGCTTGGAGCAGAAGGCTATGTTTCAACATTCACAGGGGATTCTTGGAGAATCTCCAACGGTACAATGATAGTTAATCGAGGCAACAAACTCGGGACTCTCTACCTCACCTTACATGCGAGTGACACCCTCGTAATTGCAGCTAACAAAGAGAGTACAGATCTGTAGCATAACAGGCTAGAGCACATGAGCGAGAAGGGGATGAAAATCTTACATTCACAGGAAAAACTGACCGGGATCGACTCCGTGGAAGTCGGGGTTTGTGAAGACCGCATCTTTGGGAAGCAGAAGATGGTTAGTTTCTAGAAGGGTGGAAGGCCACCTAAGACTCAGAAGCTAGAGTTGATTTATACAGATATATGGGGTCCAGCCAGTGTGTCTTCTTTTGGCGGTTCGAGATATTATGTCACCTTCATCGACGATCACTCGAGGAAGGTGTGGGTCTACTTTATGAAGCACAAATCAGAGGTGTTTGGAGTCTTCAAGAAGTGGAAGGTCATGATGAAGAACGAGACAGATCTGAAGGTAAAGTGTCTGAGATCAGACAATGATAGAGAATATGAACTAGAGGAGTTCAAGAGGTTCTGTGCTACGAATGGGATTCGATTAGAGAGGACTACTCTAGGGATGCCGTAACAGAACGACATTGCAGAGAGGATGAACAGAACCTTGACAGAGCGTGCTGGGAGCAGCGATTACATGCAGGTTTGCCTAAGATATTTTGGGCAGATACAGTGCATACGACAGCCTACCTTGTTAATCACGGCTCATCAGTTCCATTAGATTTTAGAATTCCAGAGGAGGTTTGGAGTGACAAGAAGGTCAATC